TAAAAAAAAATAAGATAAAGTATTAGATTATATATAGAACAAAAAATAATAAAAAGAATATATTGATATAGTAATAATATTACAAGATATAAACAAATAGTAATTACATATATAAATAATACAACATGAATTACAAATAACAAAGAACAGTTATTAAAGTTTCTTAGTATTACAAAAAAGTTCTTAAAAGCTAATAATATTGAAATAAATAGATTCAAATCAAAGCTTATAGTAATAAATATAAAAACTAAAAAAAAAAAAAAAAATTATTTTTGGTCATAACAAAATAATAGAAGAATCTAAAAACAAAATTGTAAGATCATTAGAGATCTGACTAATTAACAAAATAAGAAAAACACTAGTTTGTAAGAAAATGAAAGAAATAGTTAGTCAAATAGTTAAAGATCTAAAATACAAAAAAATAATAATAAACCAAATTGTATATATAAATAATATAGTAATAATTCTCAAGCTATGATATTTCTTATAATTAACAAAAATGTTAGAAAAAATAATCAATAAAGTACATTAATTATTAATATATTTAGTTAAACATAAATACAATATGATAAAAATATTGAATAACTATACAATTAAATATAAGAACTTAGAAAATTATAAACCACTAAGTTAAAAAATAATGATAAAACAAATAAGTATTTTTTTTAAAACTCAATAGACAAGAAAGTCTAGATGAATTAACAAGACTTAAGGGTAGAGTATATGAATTTTAAATGATATATAAAACTTTTGGTAAATTATTATTTAATTAAAAATAAAAAAATATTTTCTTAAATAAACAGCTTTTAAATATTAATTAAAAATTATAGAATATGTTTTTCTGATTCTAATAATACTAAATTTATTAAAATTAGTTAAAAATTAATTGAGATACATATGTTTAAAAATTAGGTATCATAAATTGTTTATATAAATTATATGAATATTATATGATTTGAACCAATCAGGATCAATAATTTTGTATAATTATAAAAAATTTGAAGCCACTATGGAGAACTTTGTAATATATACAAGTATATTTTTTTAAAATATTTTATCTATTAAAAATTTTACTATTATAAAGAATATATCTTATTCTATATTATATAAAAATTTAATAAAAATTAATTGCAATAATAAAAAGTTTTATTAATAGCAAAGCTTTATTTTTTATAAAAATTATATTGTACTACAAAGATCATATAAAAAATGATCTATGTATACTCTACACTTAAAATAGCTCAAGAATACTAAAAAACAGATTTAATAAAAGATATTTGACAATGAAATAAATCAGAAATAAAAAAGTTTTAAAAAAATAATTTAATTTGTTAATAATATTTAAAACAAAAGAAATAAAAATAAGTATTAAGACAAAAAATGTTTATAAAAAATTTATGATTATGCCAAAAGAATAAGAAATATGTTAGAAACAAAAAAAAAAATAACAAGCAGTAGTACAATAAATAAATAAATATTATTATATCTGAACTAGTTTATAAATATAAAAGATAACAACTTGATTATATAAAAACAGTTTAAAAGTTTTTAAGAATTGTTATACAAAAAGAAAAAAATCAAATAGTTTAGCAAAATAGAAAAAAAATACTAATAATATAAACAAATAAAAAAATACAAGACTATTATAAAATAAATAGTTATAATACACAAATATTAAAAATTAAGTAGATAAAAATATCAGAAGACTAAAAAAAAAAAGAATAGATCATATATGGACCAAAACATAACTAGCAATTTAACAAAATAATCAAGAAAAAAAAAGATGTTAGCAAAATATTGTCTAATATATAAAGAAGAGAAACATCTATATAAATAAGTATATATAAAAATTATGAAAATAGATCAGAACAAATAACAGACAAATATAAAAGATAAATAAGATAAAATCTTAATATAAAAATAATATTCAAATTATTAGTAAAGAAGAATAATAAATATAACATTAGAACAGATTTTGAAAAATAGAATAATAAAAAAATAGAAAAAAGTTGAAATAAAATTATTAAAATTAAGACAAACAGAAAAACTAAAAATAGAACTAATTAAATAACAAAGATTAAATAGTACAATTACAAATTATTTAATAAAGATTCTAACAAGAAACAAGAAGAAAGACAAAAAAAAAGATATTTTCTATATAGACAGAATATTATACAAAAAAAAAATAAAACAGTATAAAAAAAATAAGTATTGGTTGAATATAAATAGATGATAATTAAAAGAAAAAATTGTATTGAAACTAAAAAGATGATCTTTAGTAATAATAACAGAATTAGCAATAATATGAATAACAACTTTAATAATATCCAAAAGAAAAAAATATAGAAATGTATACAAATAATATCACAACATTAAGAAATATTAATAGAATAATTCAAAATATAAAAAATAAAAAGAAATTAAAGAAAAAGAATATAATATAAATAATAAACATTGTAAGTCTTATTAAGAGCAAGAACATTAAATAGAAATAATTAAAGTAAAAAAATATAGTAAAGATAAGTAAAATGACAGAATAGATTCTCTTACAAAAAAAAAATTAACTTATAAAAATATAATATATATAAAAAAGATCAAGTGTAAAAAAATTAATATACTAACAAAATTTTTGTATAAAATAATAGCAAATGTCAGAATTGAAAAGTTAAAAAAAAATAAACCTAATAAAAATATTAAAACCAAAAACAAAAAATATACTAGATAATTAGTCAAGTTTCTGAAAAAAAATAAATAAAACAAGAGAAATATATTGTATTTTAAGAAAACTTAGTACAAAAAAAATTACAGTAATCAAGTATATAATAGACAGCTTATTAACATTTAAAGAACTAAATAAAAAAAGATATCAAGAAAAAAAGAAAAAATCTTAGATATACTTAGCAAACTGTAGTAATCAAAAAAGTTTGTAAAAGTAAATCCACAATAATAACAGTATATAATAGGTTCAAAAAAGAAAAAAAAACAAAATCTCATCATAAGTATTATATAAAGCACTATTCAAAAAAACAGAAAAACAAAAAAAATTATGAACAAAAAAGTACTAATAAAGGAATTCATAATGCTAAAAATAAGAGAAAAGTTTGAATAATTTTTAAATAAGCAGATAATACAGAAATATATAAATGTAGTAACAAAAACAGTATAAAACACTTTTATAACCAAGAATGAAAAATTTAATGTGAAAAAGTATAAGGCTGGAAGAAGAAGACCAACATAATGAATAAGATAAAGAAAGATACTTGTGTAAGAGAAAAGTTAAGAAAAAAGAAAAAAAATAAATAAACAAGCAAAAAAAGAAGAAAAAGAAAGAAAATTAAAAAAACAAATTAAATGAAGAAAAACTTAAAAGACAATTAACATGCTTGTCACAGAAAGAAAGAAACCTTTCTGGTATGACTTTAAGTAATTAAACAAGTAGTCGAGATAGTGCAACAGGTTGCACTTAGGTACCATTAAGGTGATCAAATAATGTTAAACTTAGATATTGAAAAATTCTATATAATTGTATATATATATAGTTTCAAGAATTTTAATAAAGTATTAGCATAACTGCTTAAGGTTAAAAAATAAAAAAATAAAAATAAAATTATGAATAAAATCAAAATTATAAACCAATTTTAAAAAAAACCAACATATAAAAAAACAGAAAAAAATCCAGAATTATAAAACAGTATTAAAAAAAGCAATTTTAGCATTTATCGCCGGTGGCGATACCACCACCTCTTATTTCTTTTATCAAATTTAGAGATAGGGTGCAATTTTAGACCAAGATTAGGGTTAGGTATAAAGGTCCAAATCTTCGTTATTGTTAAGTTTTTTGGGGTCCTGAGCATTTTTACATAGTACCTTCGACATGTGTTAGCTAGTAGATTTTTGAGATATAGTATTACCGGCGATATCACCACTGGCGATAAATAGCAATATTCTAAAAAAAGAACAAAGATTTCAGAAAAGTAAAAACAAAATCAGAATCATATAGCAAATATTAAGATTAAAAGATTATATTACAACAAAGTATCAAAAAAATAGACAATATTATATTCAAGAATGCCAAATATGATATAAAACTAATACCAAATGTAAAAGAATGCAAAAGCCAATATTGAATGCGAAAGAATGCAAAAGCCAATGTCATATGTGAAAATGGTTTAACCAAGCATTAGAAATACAACTTTAAATTTTGACGAAAATCAAATTTTACATGTGCCACTGTTATACTAACTAAATTAATAGGAAACCGTGTTTAGCATTAAGGTTGCTCCTTTTTCGTGTTAGAGTATAGGAAAAAATAAATTTTATTTGAATTTTTCTTTTACAAACCGTACGTACTGTCATGATTTCCACATGTTCTTAATTGTGTTTTTGTACCGTACTATTTTACTATTTACACTGTTGGCTTAGCAGAACTCTTGCTACATATTACGTACGTAAGTGCGTTTAAAAATGTCCGGTATCTCAAAAGAAACATTAGAACAGACCTTGAGAGAAAAACTTGAAGCTGAATATGTTGAAGTTATTGATACTTCCGGTTAGCTTTTGTCTAAAACTAGATTTAATTATGATTATTGTATACATTAAAATTTATTGTTATTATTTTATTATTATTATTTTTTACAAGGTGGATGTGGACAAAGTTATGATGTTATAATAGTGTCTAAAATATTTGAAGGTAAAAGTGTTTTACAAAAACATCGATTGGTGAATGAAACATGCAAATCAGAAATTGCGCAACTTCATGCTTTCTCGCAGGTAAACCATTTATTTATTTTAAATAATTTATTGCGAAAAAATGGTTTTTCAGTACTAATGCTTTGATCTATTTACTATAAAATTTTGAACAGAAAAGTTATACACCAGCACAATGGGAGATACAAAAACAAAAATAGCACCCATAAAGCGGATGTACGTGTATAATCACAAATAAAATGTTGTAATAATATGTAATATTATATATATATCGGTTCAAATATAATGAATGGTTATGAAACCATTTTCATGGGCCAGTAAACACCTAGGAAATAAAATGTTTTGAGAATGCAGAATATAAAATCTAAAAAAACTTTGAATTTTAACAAACCTGGATCTGGATCATCTGCGTCCTCAGACTTTTTCCAACGATGTGATAGATGACTAGGAGGAACAGGAGGTAACTTCTCCGTCGAATATAATATTGGGGATGAAGCAATTGTCTCAATTAAATCAAGCTTTTCTGGAATAGTCATTGCCGTTGGAGTTGATTCTTTAGAGCCTTCTTGGTCACCAGCTGTTATGCTAAGAATTAGTATAAATTTGAGATTATTAAATGGATTATTCTGGAAAAGCAAGATCAAAATTGAGACTATTAAACCTTTTCAAATGTAAAGCAGCGATTAACTTTGCAACGTCATTTTGTGTATATACAGCCAAACGCGGATAATTTCGTCGTGCATCACGGTCAAAATAGTAATTCTGAGCTAAATCTGAATGTTCTGTTAGGGGCCGAACGTACGTACTTGGCTGTGACCTATGTGAAATCAGAAACCAGTCAATTCTAAAATTCATACAAGCGAAGCTATAAATATTGATGATTATTCATACCCTGGAGATGGTGTGCGATATACTCCTACAACGGGAACGCCCGTATTTGACTCTGGATTCTTTAATTATAATTATGTAAATGTTGGTGCCTTTAATGTAAAAAGACCATGCTTCTTGCGAAGTCTTCGAAATATATGCTAATTAAAAGACCAAACTTTTTAACTTTCGTTGTCCGGTCTATTATAAACTTACCACAGTCAAAAGTTGACGCACTTTTTCCCAAAATTTACTTGCAGTACCTCGGGTATAACTAGCCATAACGAGTGTGATAGCGTAAGGGAATTTAATAAATTTTACAAAATATCAATCCCCTGCCGTAAAAAATCACGTGGGGTCTTTTATAAAGTGGGTCCGATCTTGTAGATCGTTACACGATTATTAAAGTTTTTTTTATACGGTTTATAATACTTTTTTAGAGGCTTTTGAACATATCTCTTCAATGAAAAGTGAACGAACGTACTAAGCAAACTTGAGGTTTTCATACTATATTAGTAAAATCGGTTGATTCACGTTGATTCAGTTGATATTATATTGGTTTAAAATTAAGAAACATATGGAATGTAAAACTATTTTATTTTTTTATTTTTATTTTTATTTTTTTAATCTTAAGCAGTTACACTGATATTTTATTAAGATTCTTGAAACTATATACATACATAATTATATAGAATTTCCCAATACTTAAGTCTAGTATCACTTAGTTATTTTTTTTATTTTTTATTTTTTTTTCCCTTAAGCAGTCACAGTAGTACTTTATTAAACCATTTGTAGCTACATTTGTAAATACAGAATATCATTTAACTTATAAGTCTACTATCATCCGGCCACTCAAACAGTACCTAAATGTGACCTGCTGCACTAATCCAGTTAGGACTAGAAATTACGACTCGTCTGACCTCTGCCCTACAATAAGATACCATCAATCTGGAGACATCTTCTCGTAAGGAAGAGAAAAACAAAAAAAAAGAAAATGATTTTAAAGTTGAAGAAGGGAGGAACGAAAATGAGGAGTAAAATAAAACTAACAAAAAGAAAATGAAACTAATCTATAAGGAGAATAAAAGAAAAAACTTGCTAACAGGATAAAACTCTATTCTATGATTGCTACTCATTACAATGTTTTCATATTTTTATAGGCTATGGCTATTCTCTAGAAACTAGGTACTCTTAACCAGAATGAAAACTGTATTTATTTGTAGGACAGAGTTTAAGCCAGACACTTTCCATATAGGAGAATCTTCAAGTAGATAGGGTACTATGTTATGGTTTGAAGTGCACTTAAGCAGTCCAATTCTTCATAAACCCCTATATTCATTTTTTTAAAAATATTATGCACATGGTCTCGGAATATATGCATATCTCAATATATTTTTAGTCTTTCTGAATTAAATCCTTTTCCAATCTGCTCCACATGATTGGCTGACTTATGTGTTTGTTGTGTTTCTTATTTGTCATGTCCAAACAAGCATATAACTGAAAAAGGAAGTGATGCACAGTGTCGATCTTTTGATGGGAGTGAGCCAAATCCCCACTTTTTCGAAAAAAGAAAACAAAAAAAAGACGAAGAGGAGATATATCATTGTTGTAAGGGTTCAAGTCAAGGAGAGTTTTTCTAGTTGTTCTTCTTTTTCTTCTGCTTTTAATATTCTTAACCAAAGAACTGATTTTGTCTCTATTTGCTTCCAGAATATCTTTCCAGTTTGGATGCTAAATATGCAAGGAAGTTCACCAGACAAAAGCTTAACCCAAAGCAAGAACCACTCAAGTTTTGCCCGCTCCTCGGTGTATCACGTACTTGAGCTTTGTCGATAGCAAGTTTACTTAATATAAAACTAAGAATATTATCCACTTTGGAGCCAAAGTCTTCAATCTACTTTTGGTGCCAACTTGGTCCAAGTGATCGTTGGAAAGAGTTGTGATTAGTTATTCTTTTTATCACTTAGTTATTCTAATAGTATCTAAGTACAATTTGTCATATTATTTTAATTATAATAGAGATAAATTACTTATTTAACTATTTAAAATTATATTAGAAAGGTTTTTTTTTCTGTAACAAGCATATTAATTGTTTTTCAAATTTATTTTTTTATTTGAATTTTTTTTATTTTTTTTATTTTTTTATTATTTTTTTATTATTTTATTATTTTTTATTATTTTTTAATTTTCTTTTTGCTTATATATATTTTTTTATTTTATTTATTATATTGATTTTTTTTATTTTTGTATTCTTTTATATCAGATTTTTCATATTTGATTATAAAAAAATATTTTATATTGTTCTTATTACTATTTATACATTTCTGTGTTGTCTATTTGTTTAAAAACTGGTTAAGTTTTTTTTTATTTCTATTATAATAAATTTTTTTATTAGTATTTTTTTATTTATAATTTTTTTTTGTTTTTTTGAATAGTGTTTTATATAATACTTGTAATAGAATTTTATTATTATTTTTTTTTTTGAGCTTATTTTATGTTATTATTATTATTTTTTCTTTTTAATAGCCTTGTTAAGATTTTCTTTTATATTTTTCTGAACTAATATTTTCAATATTTAAGATTATTAAACTTTGATCTTCTCTGGTCTATGTTTTAAACTTTTAAAATTGATTTGTTATATTGATTTCTGTTGAGATCAAAAGACTTTATTAGGTTTTATTAAAAACCAGCTATCATTATAAGTTTATATAGTATTTCTTATTGTCAAACTTTTGGATTCATATTACATTTTATAACTTTGGTTATTCCAAATCATGTTTTAACTTGTGTCTGTTATCATATAGTTTCTTAACTGCAGGTCACTTGTTATTTCTGAAAATAAGTCTGTTCTTAAACATTTTTGGTTCTTAATACCATAGTATAGCAGTTTTCTATTTTGAAAATATCTCTCTACAATTGCTATTATTAAGATTTGAACTAACAGCCTTATGATTTATAATCTTAAAGCATAACTGCTATGTTATTAACTCTAGACATCTTTATATTATTATTATTATTACTTTTTATATTTATTTTTATATATTTTTTTGTTTACTATAGTTTGTAATATATATTTAAAGTTTTTTTTTATTTTTTTAATAAACATAATAATTTGTTGTTGTATATATATACTTTTGGTTTTTTTATTTAGTTCTTTTAGTATTAGTAAACAGTATATTATGTATTTAACTATTATTATTATTATTATTATTTTAATTTTAGTAGTTATATTAGTATTTTATTAAAATTCTTGGAACTATACAAATTATATAGCATAAAAAAAAGAACTCTCTCTGCTAATTCTAAATTTCCAAATAAGGCTAAAAGCAAATACATAGAGAAACAGGAAAACAGTCTAACAAACTTCATTTGGACCTCTAAGGAAAAAGACTCAGCAAGCAAAATACAACTACTTTGCCTTAAGAACAATATAAGCAAAGTCCTGTTAAATAAAACTGTAGCTGGTTTTCAAAACTTTTAGTGAAAATATTTGGAGAAAACTGAAGAATGATATTTGATCCAGAAAAACAAATCAGAAGCACATGACTAGTATACAGAATAAACAAAGCCAAAGCAACATGTCACATTATACCAAACAATAACAAGAATCAATAATAATCAGCCCAATTAGGAAACAATAGGTAAGTACAGCATGTGTAGCAAGCAGATGGATAAACATCAAAAAAGACTA